GCGTCTCCTTACTTGCTCACTGTTGGACACCAGGTCAGTACCCTTGTATTTTGTCTTTATCAATACTACTTGCTCACTGTTGGACACCAGTGCCTCTCCTGAGTTTGATACACTCCTCTGTGAAGGCAAGGAACTCGTTGGACATGTAAAGCCTTGAACCGCTTGAAAGCAGCAAAGACATCAGACTTGGCCTTGAGAGGGACAACAACGCGGTAGCGAGAGTAGTCATCGATGAAGGACACCCAGTAGCGATAGCCAGACATGGAGAGGTGGCCGACATCATGGACATCAGAGTGCACGAGCTCGAGGAGGGCAGTAGAACGCGAGGGAGAGGGTGGAAACGGGTTGGCACGCTGCTTACCTGCGAGACAGGGCTCACAGATAGGGTCAGGGCGCTCCTTGGAGTCCAGCTGCATGCCAGTGACCCAATCGCGCTCTGACAGAGCCTGGACACCCACCAAGCTGTGGTGGGCCAGTCTGCGATGCCAGAGGGACAGGTCAAGAGGCAGAGTAGAGGATAGCTGCGCATACTCGGTCAATGGCTCTGTTACACCGTCCAAAAGCGCACTGGTGTTCTGGTTGATGGTAGCAGTGAACAGCACAGTGTTGGAGCGAATGAAGGACATAGATTGAGCGGTGATAGTGACAGAGAAGCCATGATGACGAGTAAGGTAGAGTACAGAGAGGAGATTGGAGCGCAGGTCAGGTACATGCAGCACCCTACTAAACTCTACAGCCCTCGCTTCCTTCCCTCCCACCCTAGGACAGAACACCACAGACCCTACACCAGCGAGACGGCGAGGACAGCCTCTGAGGAGGCCACAGGCGCTGTAGAGCGTCGAGTCCTGTTGTTCTCCTCCTGGATGAACACTTGCACCACAGCATCCTTGTCCAGGGTGGACTGGAGCATGAGGGCAGAGACAAAGTGAGAGTACTCCTCAGGGAGAGCACGAATGAGCGCCATGCAGGCCAGCTCCTGGTCCAGAAAGTCGAGGGTGTAGGCAGGAGGGCGAAGGTCCTTGATCCTGGCATAGAGGGTGTCCACCCTAGCAATGAGGGAGCTGAGGGACTCCTCAGGGCGCTTCCTAAGGGCGAAGAAGTCGTCGAAAGTGTTGGAGCAAGTGCCAGGGATCTTCTGCTGGACAGCCTGGAGAGCGTCCCACATAGCAGTGGGATCATCCTCCTTGCCCTTGACATGGATGCGCTGCTCCTCAGACAGGGAGAGCATGAGCTCGCCACCTGCCTTCTCCTGGCGAGTATCCCAGTCCTCAGCCTTGTCAGGATCCTGAAGACACGTCTCAGTACCCTTCAAAAGCCTGCAGAACCCCTTGGAGCGAGCTAGAGCACTGAAGTCCACAGCCCAGGACACATAGTTGTCCTTGGTGAGGGCCTTAATACGCTTGGAGGCGGAGGCGTCGGGCATGGGGATGAGGGAGAGGTGTACAAGACCAGGGGTACAGCAGCAGAAGAGGTGAGGAGGTGAGGAGATGGTGAGGAGATGGGAAGCGTTGAGGCGCAAGGAGGGGGTGCAGGGAGCGTCCAGGAGCAACGTGGAGTTACTACCACTAGGCTCTAGGTTCAACTCACACAACAGGCAAGTTTTACCTCTTTTTACCCAAGTGTCCTGGAATGCTGGAAAGCGTACCAAGGCCACTGGGCTGCTGTGCCAAGGGCATAGGAGTGATGCAGAGGTGCTGGGCGCACTCTGACAGGGAGAGCGCTGAGAGCGGCAGAAACACACCAAAGAGGCCCAAAACCAGCCAACAGGCATGTGCAGCGATCTAGGGCTCAATCCCCAGCAATCCAGCACAAGAGGGCGACCAAGGAGGGGGGTTTTGCGAGGCAGTTGCATGCCAACATGTTACTTGGTGTCCTTTCTGAGGGCATGGGCTACTTGCTCCTTCCATTGCAGTTCCTGGTAGACAATTATGCCAAGGAACTTGTGGTGGGTGACAGATGGATGGTGTGGCCACATGTGGTTACTGGTGGTTGGCAGATTGGGCTGTGTAAATACCCATCTAATCCCTATGGGCTTTTGCTTATTGGGAGTCAGTATCCAAGTTCTGTATATTTTTATCTGATCTAATTCTGCTTCAATAGTTTATAGTCACTGAGGCCAGAAAGGGCTTTGTTTTGCTTCTTTGAGTGATTTTGGGTCTTCTGAGACTATCATTGCTTTGCTAAGTGCATTATCAATGTGTTCTGCCATGTATATTTGTTCATCATCATCATTTTCATGTACCAGTTTGGCCATTTTGGGGATGTCCTCCCTCTCATTCAGTTTATTATAATCACAAGTCTTTCTAGGTCTTTGACTTTGCCTTGTAGGTCCTAGTCTGAATTTGGAATTGGAGTTCTATTTTTGCAAGGTGCTGGGTTTGAACTCAAGTTGTGATTCAAGGATTTTGGCATGATTTTCTCCAGCTGCTCCCCCTTACACTGAATATCTGGCTTGGGAGAGATATGTTTGAGAATTTAAAGTTTTGAGAGATTTTACTGATCTGTGTGCTTTATCATAGTATTTGATTGCTTTGGGCCTGTCTTGGTAGTCAACAAAGGTATGCTTTACTACCTTTGGACTTAGTTTAGATATATTTTTGTCTTCTATGAGAATATACACTGGGGAACCAAATTCCTCTAAGTGTGATTATATTTGGTTGCTTATGTAATCATTTTTCATATGGTGTTTTCTTGTTTGTTGCATGCATGAACAATAAGCATTGCACATGAAAGTTTCATAATAGTCTGATTATAGCACTTGGCTACTCTGTTTTGTATGTGCGCATGTGGCTTCAAGGTTATCCCCCTTTGGGGAGCACCAAGACATAAATTTATTGTTCATGTATTCACATCCATTGTCAGAGTGGATTTCTTTATAGTATATGTTATATGATTCTGTAGCTTATTGGACACTTCCGCCTTTGTTTTTAAAGGTTTAATATCTGAGTATTGCAAGTAGTCATCTATTATATACATAAAGTATTTGATGCCTCAGAATTTTGTTTGGGCTGAACCCTACAGGTTGGTAAAAATCTGCTCCCCCAGGGTTTGGATCAATTTTTGGCTGTTTTGGGAAATGGACATCTGGTCATTTTTGCTTCTGTGCACATGTCACAGTGGACTTGTTCTGGACCTGGGGTTATTTATAACCTGGTCACCATGTTTTTGATTACAAGTATTTTTAGTGTGGGATGTGGCCAAACCTTTGGTGCCAATGTTCCCAGGTATGAGCTATTGGCTTGACAAAATAAGGTTTTTCTCCTTGAAGAACTGGTTTCCCTCTGATATGGTATAAGTTGTTTATTACTTGCCTGTTGTGAGAATTTTGCTGACATTATCTACAAGTCTGGCTTTTTGCCATATATGGCTTTACCCCCTGTCTGATCAAGTTTAGAAATGGACAGAAGGTTTCAAGTTGCTTGGGAGATATGAAGGACTTCATTTAATTTTAGTATCTGCTCATTGTTATGGGCCTGGGTTTTAAGATCCGACTGCAGGCTAATTAGCATTATTTCTGTCCATCTCACTCCCCTCAGGTATCCTGTCAGTTCTTTCCCACTTTGGTGAGTCATCCTTTCCAAGAAAGTGTAGCTATTGTCAGGCACGATGGGCTGATGTGACCAATCCCTCCCCAATTCACAGCATTGCAGCACCTACACCAGCTATCCCCAATTCCAACCTCTGCCTTCTAATGATGGCAAAGTCTTTTGTCATTACAAGCTGCCCTCTGCCTCCTGCCTCTCCTGCCTTTGCTTATACTTTATTCCCACCCTCTGGTTTTGTCCTCGCTTGGCTCCCTTCTATGTCATCTCCAGGTTTTTCTGTTATCTCCCAGATCCATCACATATCTGTTCTCCTCTCCCTTATCACTGTTGCTCTCATCTCCCTCGTTGCTGTTGCTTGCGTCAACACTCTGTCTTTCTCTCTCCATATGTGATGACCTGTTCCTCCTGCCCTTGTTCACCATGCCTCTGGACTCATCAAGGAAAGGCCCCGCTCCCGACCACTTCTGTATCACCACCCAATCCTTGTTCAGCTATCACACCCTCTGTTCATCATAAAGATACATTCATGCCCATTCCCCCACCTTTGTGTTTGAAGGAAGTAGGTTCAATTGGTATGTTTTCTATGCCTCCTCTGTGTTTTTTCCCCCAACCATCTGCCCCTCTCTGTTGCCTACTTGGACTCTATTCTAAACACGTGGTCAATTCATCAATAGTTTGATTACATGCTGTTCAGACCCACTTTCCCTTTACAACCACCACCATCTCACCAGCTTGCCTTCTGATGCCCCCTGTCCATCCCCTAGCCACATCTGTGAACATCACCAAGATTGTGGGCAGCCGCTCTGGTGCCAGGGCCAGGGTGCAGTTCATAAACCAGAATGCCATTGCACTGGAGGCCCAGTGGTGCCAAGAACACTACTCTGCTGGTATACAGGGTATGTATTTGTTTTCATGACTTATGACCATAGCTCTGACATGTCTTCAGGTCTTAGCGCTGAGTCTCAGCAGATGCTTGAGGCTGGGCTGGACTTCGACTCTAATAAATTTGTTCACAATATCACTGACACCGATGTGGCGGATGGATGGATTCTCTCTCTGACAGTATGGGGGACTTGTTCATTGAGGTGGTGGAAGAGATTGTGTACAATAAGTGAGCACCCTTTGTCTATGCATTCATGCACTGCACTAATGTCTGCAGCACCATGAAAATGTGTGATCACCGGACTTGGCACCAACATCTTCAATTGTCCCAGGACAAGTACTCTCAGCATCTCCCAATTTTCGTTGCTGCCTACCTCCGGTGGAGGTATCTGTCTGGACCCCCTTCGCTGCTGACGTCTCATCTCCCCCTGCTTGTGATACTGCTAACACCCCGTCCACAGCCCTTTTTGCTACCACTCCACCCTCATCCCCTTCCAATACCTTGGCTACCTTGTCCATGCTCCCTTCTGATACCCTATCCACTCCGTCCATGCCTCCTTCCAGCATTGCTAACACCTCACCCCTACTTCCATCAGCCACTGACTTGCATATGCCCCCTCTCAATGCTTCCAACTCTCCCAAGGAAAACCAGCAATAATTACTTCATCATCTCTGCCATCAACATCTACACTGAGATGTTAGCAACAATTCCCAGCCATGGTATTAATATCCCCGCCGAGGCACTTCTATTAAGCGGTTACCTTGGTGCAACTCTGCAGTTATCAACACTCGCCTTTTCGCTTTCAACCCTGAAGCGCTATTGGAGGCTTTGGCTTTGCAAGCTGTTCTTTAGTGTAGAAGCTTTTGCAAAGGTGATCTGTGATCTGTACCAAGCACACTTTCTCCTGCCTCCCCCACTGCCTGCAGAGCTCACAATACATTCATTACAGTGGCTGTATCATAGACACTATTAACAGCGTTGTCTGATGCCTTCAACATTTACCTGATGATCCTGCAAAACATTGATGCTCAGGTTGTGGTGGTCCCGGGCTGCAATGGGGCCTACTGGCGAGCTCAGAATGCATGCCTGCCACATGGATATGAGGTACATAACAATTCATTCTTTCCACAATCTCTAGCTAACCTTCTTTCTAGCTGAAAAATGAACCAGAGCTCGAGCGCCAATTGCTGCTGGCCTTCAATGGCAACAACTCCCTTTCTCGCATGGCAGCATTTGGTGGACACAAGGCTGGAGACCTCAAAACATTTCACAGCAACTATTTCCTGGACCTGGAGTATGTGGATTGGTTTGCCAACAAAGTCCGCACCACCACCACTACTGCCGACAGCCCTGCATCAGAGGAGCTGACACCATCAAATGCCATCACCTCATGTACTGACAGCTGGAAGGCAGCTGCTGCAGATGCCAAGAAGTGCCTGTCAACATGGGCTTGTCTTGTGGATCAACAATATGATCTGGAATGGTGAGCTGTACGTGATTCATTAGTTATGCACCTGTGTACCATTATTCATTCCCTTTACAATAGATTCAAGTATCTGCTTGCTACTGTCAACAAAGTGGGGAGATTGCCTCCTGATTGCATTCAGCATTGGATGCAAGTTGTCCACCACCATCACCTTCAGCTCTTTGGCTCCCAGATTTGCGGCCTCAAGATCCCGGGTGTGCATAGATGCATTTCACGGTTACACGCACAACTACACATGCCAAGACAAGAACCACCTGAGCGGTATCTGCAGTGCTGACACTAAGGACTTCAGCATCCTCAAGCAGATCTTCAGCCTGTCAAATGAGCTCGCACAGCTTATTCATTACGTGTCTCCATACAAACAGCGCCTTTTCATTGACATGTACTTTTGCCAATGAGACAAAGATTGTTACCTGAATCTTGGTCAGTCCCTCTACTGTGCATACATCTATGGCCTTCAGATCCTCAACAACGAAAGCACTGCGCTTGACCAAGCAAAGCACTTGCTAGGTGTTACCAATGAAGAGCTGACTGCATGGCGGACAAGGCAGACCAAGTATCTGTGCAGCGGTGGGGAGGAGTCTGAGTATGACATCCATGCTAGTGCATATGTGGAGCTGTTACAAAAGCTCTGAGATTATGAGTGAGTGGCAACCCGCATCAATTATTAGCCTGCTCATTTTGCTCAGGGCTGCAGCTGAGAATGTGTCAGCCGCATTCATTGTGGCCGTCCCACAACAATACACCTTCCGCCTGTCAGCATTGTCATCCACTGCCCCCACCACATCCTACTACAGTGTGCAGAAGAACAGCAAGCAACTTGCAACAGCAAAGAAGGTTGCTGCTGAGCAGCACACAACCATGTCAGCTGAAGTTCTTGCCCTCAAGTCAAAGATGGGCGTTGGCTGGCGCTGGCAACTATTTGACTCAGAGTATACTGCGGTTGCACAGTACTTCAACAATCAAAAGTATCATCAGGTGTTGAATAACCTTCAGCACCTGGTAGTCTTGCGCTTACTTGAGCTTCATAAGCTTCATATCTTGCAGACTGCTGAGTCTTTAATGTTCTGCTTGCCTGCCTCCTAACCATGGGATTGCTAGGTTATAAAATGCAGATGCACATCACTAAGTTGCTGCAGAACTGTTACAAGGCTATCAAGAATGCAATCAAAGTCTACAACAAGACAGCTCTACAGATCAGGGAGCCCTCGCTCTGGGGCAAGGTGTCTAATTATCAATTTATAGAAGAATTTTTGCTCCTCCGCAACACTCATCAAGACATCCACTCTGAGTGCTGGGCACAGCCAGCAATCCACAAGCTCATGAAGCAGTCACTGTGGCTCGATCGTGTGAAGGAGGAAATTGCCCGTCTTAACATCAAGGTTTGTCAGCTTTCAATCTCAATTGCTAACAAGGAGAAAGAACTCCTACAACTTCTCTCAAAGACCAAGAGGGCTCCGCTGCACAGTGCAGTGGAGCAGTTTGTTGACTGCCGCCACCAGATCAACTCATTAATCATGGACCAAATTATCAACACCAACACACTTGACAGCTTCTCAAGTTGGTCGGACATTGGCATCCAAGTAGGATCAGAGTCAGAATCACCCTTCCCTTTGTCCTTGGCAGGTGTAAGCTCATAAACCCATGTGGTTTTGTCAGCAGATCAAGAAGAGACTCACAAGTCAGATGAGCATAGGCTAGAGGCAATCAGGTCATTAGTAGATTATATCACGGACTTAGAAGTTCCAGAGTAATATGTATACTATAGGCATATTGTTTATGAAAAATGCATCTGTTTCCAATCTTGAACCAGCGTGAATGATTGTACTCAACATAAATTGCCCAGACCATGCTCGAGGAAGTGGTTATGTACTTAGTCACAGATCTAAAACTTTGAAGAATGCAATAGATATTTATGTGATTTTTCCTCAGAGACCATGTAGCTGATCAGAGGAGATTGATTCTGCATATGAAGTACTGAAGTTAGTGGTTTGATGTATTTTAATCAGGAGGTTAATGTTAATATTGTTGGACCATGCATGACCTACCGCACGGGACAGACCAATCCAAGTATTGGTGGTGGGGTACATGTATGAGTAAAAGTGCACTTCTCAATGAATGAGAATCACGCCTGAATCATAAGTTAAAATATATATGTAATACTGCACAGATGGTGTGAGCATGTTGATGTTGCTTGCATGTACGTAGTGCAGCAACACGCACAGTACTCATACATCACATGTGCAGGCCATGTGTTCAGCGTCAGGAACTGATAACATCAACACTCATCCCCTTCATTACCTTTCATCCCCTCTCCACTCTCTCTTGCACTCGTGCTCTTTGCCTGCTCATGTACAAGAGCAACTAGATCCTCCAATGTTTTGTTATTGGCAGCAGCAATTCAGGGTCTCAGCATCATTGGTGAGTTGTTGGATGCCGCATACCAGATGCTGCACATACTGATAGTCCCAGCCCCTTCATTGCAGCCAGTCACTCCTCATTGCCATTCCCAATTGCTATATACCACTACCCTAGCTTAAGCAACATACCACTCTGCCTTCTTGCCTCTCTCACCAGTACTGTCACAATTAGCAATGAACCCATTGAAACAGCCACATCCCTTATTCATGTTCTTCAAGATAAAAAAAGCTTTATCCATAACCATGACAAGTTCTATCCTGTTGTTTATAGTCACTATGTAGGGATCTATACAACTTGGTGGGTCTTACAATGTCTTCTTTACATGCTTACAAACTATTCTAGGGAGGTTACCATTCCTGAAGTAACTGGGAGGATGATTCAGCATTTCAGGCATGTTGAAACCTTGAAGGATGCCTTGGTCTTTATGATCACCAAGGGCAGGATCAAGTTCATCAGTGAGCTCATGTACAAGCTCTCCTCCAGACAGAATTCTCAAGGTCTCCACGGTTCAGCACCCCCATATCCAGCAAATGACATTGGCCATCATGCACAAGGACAGGCAGTAGTTGATTCAAGAAAATCTATTGGTGAGTCACAGTCTAGATGCCTCTGCATCCCTCTCACCTTTTTTTTGCTGGCCCCAGAGCTGCTGACCAACATGTTCATCAACTGTCTTGTTGTATCAAATCCCACTTCCCCTTGCCCACCCGCCCCTCACTCATTTTCCACATGGCAAGTTGTCGCTGAGCTTGTGGGACAGGACCCTGATATTTTGTTCCCCGCCCAAGTTCCTCCTTGTCAGCCATTGCCCTCTCATTTGGTCTCCTCTCAGCACGTCCTCTCTGGTGGCCTGGTCACCATTCTGGCTCCCCCCACCTTGTTCCACTGCTCTTGTACCCCTTGCTTGTCTTCCTCTACTAGATCCATCGGCTCTGTCAGCACCACATCTATGTTCACTGTACCCAACGTCCATGTGGCCTTTCACTGTGCAAGGTCTATTACAGTGTCCTCTGCCCCTGCTGCACAATGACAAAACACCTCTTCATCTTGCTCTTTGTCCAATGCCTGGGCACCTGCCACTGCTGCCACCCCTGTTGCTGCACCTCCAGCTGCTCTGGCCAGGATATACAAGCATGAACATATGCTGGGGGGAATTGTGAGGAGTATCAGTACTCCAGAGGAAGCTACACCTGATGATGATGGCCCACCTCCCAGTATGCTGCCCCCAGCAGCGGAGCGGTACCTCAATGACCATGGATATCAGACAGCTGCATGGTGGTTAATTGTACCTGCATTTCAGGATTTGTTTGGGCCAGAGGATTTCTACCAGTATATTTGTGATTGTCATTTTGCCAAGCAAGAGGCTGCGTATCTATACAATCTCATCTCTGGTGAAGACATAAAGCCGGATGACTAGATGACCCTTACTTGCTCACTAGCTGTATGACTGATGATATATTGTAACACAACCTTACATTTGTTTTTCACATTCTGCTCCCCTCCAGGTATATAAGCACCAGCACCAGCACCAGGTAACATCAACTCCATCTCTTTTGCTTTTTCCCCCTTCCTCTGCTCTTTCCTTGCCCTCTTGCTCTCCCTCTGCCCAAACCATGGCTGTGAACCTCCCTTGCTACCTCAGAGATGCCAAGCAGCTTTCTCACAAGCCTGTCCATCACATCCATTGCATGTTTGCACAGCCCAGACACCCAAAAACCCCAATGGAACAGCTCACCCAGGTCAATCAAGGCTGTCTTCACAAGATGGAGTACTTTGATGCTCTCACTGCTGCTCAAGATGTTGTCCTCAAGGAAGCAGTCAAGCTCCACAGCATGTTCAGCAGCCACAGTGTTGAGGATTTCTACGAGGCCATCATGCAGCAATTGAGGATCAAGGGTTTGAAGAAGCGGCTCACCACTGGAATGCTCACCTCAGCAAGGAGCTATGGTCCTTCAATGATCATAAGTTTGCATGCTCAGCTTGCCATTCCATGCTGATGTGTGTCTGCCATTTTTCTTTTTTTTTTCTTCTGACAGGTGCTGCCTCTGACAGCAAACACAAGACAGCCTCTCAGTTTGCTAAGGAACTCAGGGCCACTTGGAATGGGTTGTCACTGGAGGATGTCACAAACGTGCCTAGCAGGGGAATCTTGCAAACCCAGCCCAATGGGGCTTAGGGTTTTGTTACATGATATCTTTTAAGAAGAATCACCTTCAACAGTACCAGTGCCAATAGATCCCAACCGGAGGACGAGGACAAAATTAGAGGGAATGTGCTACAGAAATCTACACTACACTCCGAAGCTTTGGAGGCATGGGAGAATAACTCTGCAGGGTCAGGGTTGACCAAGGAGGTCTGGAGGACCTGGAGGAGAAGCTGGAAGAAGAGAAAGGTAAGTATGAAGGAATGTAAGTATCATAGAGACTGTAAGTAACGTAACTACAGAATACTAATATGTAAGGGAAAATACTCAAAGCTACAGAGTGAGCTACGAGATCTTGGAGACTGTGGGAAAGTAGGTTGTAGGGAGCGTAGCAAAGCAGAAGGAGAATGTAGAAGTCCAGAGATGAATGGAGATAACTGGAGGTCAGGAGGAATAACATAAAGGTCAACAGGAATGATCTGAACATTCAGGAGAGGTGTCAAGGTGACAAGGCACTGAGGTGCAAGTCCCGAGTACAAGTCCTAGTGCGTGCTAAGCATATTGGAGTGGAGTGAAGTCACGGAAGATGACTGGAGGAGGGCAGGAGGATATGGAAGAGGACCAGAAGTAACTGGAGGTGGAACCAAGTGTCCCGGAGATGACATGGAGCTGGCATGGAGTTTAGGACTAAGAAGTCTGGAGCATAGATGACACATAGAAGTGCAAGATAATAGAGACAAGGATTAGGGAGGCATAATTGAGCCAGAGGAATGGACTAGAGGTGTAATCATAGTCAATATTCAGACTGGAGAACTATGCTAAGTACAGGAAGGCTTATATACCATTAGTAAAGTATGAAGTCATCAAGGAAGGGTAAAGGGTAAGTACTGTAGGTACAAAGTAGGTTGGAGGGTGTCTGGAGTATGACAAAAGTGGCTGAAGGAATGACATCACTAACAACAAGGATACCATGAGGTAGTGACAAAGGTTTAGGGCAAGGGGATATGATATGAAGACATGAGGATAATGGGAGGCCTAAGAAGTGATGTCAGACCTATGTGACATATATGCTCTAGTGGACAAGAGTGAAGGGTTGCAAGAGTGAAGGGTTGCATGGAGATGGCCTGGAGATAGCTACAGTGTAGCTCCGACGTTCCAGAGGTGTAGGGAGATAACCTTGGAGGTGCGTAGAGGACAGGAGCGTAACCTAGTGTGATGGAAAGGATGATGGGATCCTATAGTGATGATGCTCCAATGCTCTGAAGCATGGGAAAGTATCTTCAGAGCTCCATAGGAGTATGGAGTGCATTGCAGGAGGACTGTAGGATACAGGAAGTGGATCGGAGGTGTCTGGAGATCACTGGAGAACTCAGGAGGCTATGGAACGAGGATGAGAGAGTAGTGGTGTTGTGGGAGTGCAGCCTGAGTGTACCAGGATAGGAGTAGGAACTAGGGAGAGTGCATGGTGCATGACAGAGGAGTGCATTAAATCTACATGCAAGGCCTGCACTGAGCTTGAGGACATCCAGGTGAACAAGTCTACCGTGAAGCACAACATCCCTCTTGCTGCATGGTGCAATGCTACTGCAACTCTCAAGCAAGTCTCCAGGACTGTGCATGCAGCATTTCTTCTTCATATTTGTTGTTTCTTACCATCACTCCACCATTTAGCTTGATGACTTATCTTCTTGTGCCGGTGTCAAGGTACTATTGGTTGCTGTTTGGGCCAATGTTCAGCGCAGCATGCGACCCTTTGTTTATGTTACTGATAACACTTTTGGCGACTACTTCCACACTGTCACCAAGTCAACGGTGGAGAAATTTGCAATGCAAATGTAGGCGTGCTCGCTCTTGGGCTTGTTGGGTGAGTTACTATCATGTCACTTTTGTTCCTAGTTAATCATTGTTGTAGGTCTCGTCAAAAACTCCAAGGCTGCCTTCCTCGCTATTAGGCGCAACATTGCTTCCATTATCAATACAAAGCTCTGTACATATTTTTTGCTTGGCATTCCACAGTAAACCCATGCTGAGAATTTCTTAGGTGATGTCACCGGGGTTCACTATCCAAAAACCCTGTACACTCACTTTGATGCCGCTGTCACGGATATGTGTGATATTGTTGAGAACTGGCCATTACCCCCCAGAGTCCATCAGGTATTGGCTCTATAACTGAGCTTCGTGTTTTCCTCTCCACATGGCAGACTGGTGCTGCCAGGTTCCACAAGTTGTCCAAGGAGGAGTGGGAGGAGTGGGAGAAGAAGTGATTTGATCATGCTATAGAGCAGATGGGTAAGCTTTGTGTATCCTAATTGTTATTCTTCACATCTGAGCATTGCAACAAAGCCTCTCCCAACCAACATGTTCAAAACCATCACAGCATCCAAGGAAGTGGTGTTTACAGTTTCTGTGCTGCCTGCTTCTCAGCCATGTAATTCTACTCCTGTTAACTATGTACCACAGCTGGTTGTCATCCCTGTCCAGACCTTTCAATTCATTAACAATGTGGCTGGCCCAGATGGTCACCAGTGGATAGATGATTGCCATTGTGGCACACAAAAAAGTAAAAGTACCACAGTCTAGAATATTCTCATAACTATATAATTTCATCACTATCTAGGCACTAGCTATAGACTACACTATATAATAGATAATTAGCTATCAGACAGTATATGTCATGACTCAGGGCTTTTCAACAGCCCTACAAGGTGGAGTGTGAATGAGTACATGTAGTAGAGCTGTAGGCCTATATGAGACTCAAGGGATTATAATGAAGTGTGCATGAGATATGGAGATGACAAATTTGAACAATAAAAAAACGGAGGCGGCGACAAGGACTGATTGCAAGGGTAAGACAGCAGCCAATTGGCTTGTGCGGAGTATGGCACGTCAAATGGCCAATTGGTGGGGAAGAGTAAGCAAGTGATGGATAGAGCAAACACGTGGAAAGAGGGAGGTAAACACAGAGGGTGGGTGGCAAACACGGAGGGAGGGTGGTAAATGCAGAGGGAGGGTGGTAAATGCAGAGGGAGGGCGGGAAGTGTGGAGGGAGGGCGGGAAGTGTGGAGGGAGGGTGGGGAGCATAACATATTTGTAATATAGAGGGACACAGGTAGTGGGCAATGGCATAAGGACATGTTCAACGAAAGCAGAGATGGGATATAGTGGACAACACTAAGGAAAATAATGGAAAAGTCAGTTCAGAGCACCAACAGCCACAAATTGCATCAGAGTACTTACAGCAACTAGGAAGGAACGGGGACCTAATCCTTGCCAAGGGGTAGGTGTATGCCTTGGCAATGGGAGCAACAGAACAAGGTGTGCTGAATGGGGGCACAGGGATGAGAGGCTGACAACAGTGGGGAAGTGCCTGCGTTAGACCAATACCTTCATGACAAAGTGGACCAGGTTGGAGGTAAGGGTGTTGTGCCACAGCAGGTCAGAAGGAGTGGTGGAAAGGCTGGCTTATGCACTGAAAGTGAGGTGAGCAGAGCTAAATACACGGGTACTGAGCTATGGCAAACATACTTGCAAGCTGGCTCATAGTGGGCCAGATGGCTGGGAGGGGGATGTGGACAACAGCAAGCAACAAGGGAGGACAATGAGGGAGGACAACAAGGGAGGACAATGAGGGAGGACAACAAGGGAGGACAACAAGGGAGGGCAACAAGGGAGGGAGAGGAGAAGATAGTGGTTCAAGAGAAGATGGAAAGACCTGGAGATGACGTAGAAGGGAGCCAAGCGAGGACAAAACCAGAGGGTGGGAATAAAGTATAAGCAAAGGCAGGAGAGGCAGAAGGCAGAGGGCAGCTTGTAATGACAAAAGACTTTGACATCATTAGAAGGCAGAGGTTGGAATTGGGGATAGCCGATGTAGGTGCTGCAATGCCGTGAATTGGGGAGGGATTGGTCACATCAACCCATCGTGCCTGACAATAGCTACACTTTCTTGAAAAGGATGACTCACCAAAGTGGGAAAGAACTGACAGGATACCTGAGGGGAGTGAGATGGACAGAAATAATGCTAATTAGCCTGCAGTCGGATTTTTAATTACTGGCTAAGTAGCTACGGTGTTTGTGAGGTCCAGGTGCAGTCTCAGCTGACTTGTTGTCAGCCTCAGTGCTATTCATAGATACATCAGGATCAGGGTCTGTGATTTCTAATTCTGTTAAGACTTCAGTCTCACGCTCTATGGCTATGTAGGAAGATTCTGCTGGAGCTTCTGTTGGATTTTTGACCAAATGAGCCTCTTCTGTGCTTCTTTTTTTTCTCTTATGGAAATCTCCTTCAGCAGCCTTTGCCTTGATATCCTTATCCAGCTTCTTTCTATCTTTATTCATGAGTTTCCTGCTAGTATACCATTTGGATAACCACTTTTGATGTAACAGTTATGCACAATGTGACTACAATACCCACAATGGTAGTATTCAATTTTGTTTTTGACAGTGCAGTCTGCATATGAATGGTTACTCATCTTGCAGATGTGACAACTGTGTGACTGAGGGATTCTATTCCCATCATTCCCGCAATGTGCCTTCTTGGAGGAAGTATAAAGGGCATCTTCCCCATACAACTGCTTCTGAGTCCTTTTGGTTTCTGTGCAGCAAGTACCCTCAGCCCAAATAAGAGCTACAAGCTCATCAGTCATCCTATTGAGTTTTCCATTGACTGCTTCTACTCTGTGGTAACCCTGGGACCAGGTCTTCCAGGAGTTTGGGGGCAATATGAGTATAATGTTTTGGAACTCAGTGTTGGATATGGTGCAACCAGTAGTTTCCACAGCAACAGTGATGCACCGGCAAAGATCTTCTAATTTGAATATGTGGCAGCCAATGTTGTTGTTGTCTCCAGCCCACATAGTGTACAGGTATAAATAGAGTTTGGTAACATGTTGTCCTGATTTGATCTTGAATGTATCAGTGAGTTTCCACATTTCTGCGGAAGTGAAGATCTTTGATGAGTTCTGTGGGTCTTGCTTTTTCACATGAGAAGACAAGTTGTCACTGACCAAATTGGTAAGAATATACAAGACGAG